GGTGCTGCGTAAAGTTCCTGTTCCATCAACATCTGATAATTAGGAGGAAGATAAGCTCCTGGAATGGCTACTGCTCCATCAAACAACAGTCTGGGTTTCTTCTGCGACAAAACCTCACACCCAGGATGATGATGATGAAGGTCAGAAAGAAGGTGGTACAGAAACCAGGGCAATGATCAGATAAGAGGTCAGCTTGGAGTTCTTCTCATCATAAGAAATGTCTTTCAGTTCTGGACTTCAGCCAAGTTATCAGAAATCAGTAAATACATTGAACAGGTGGCAGACAGAGAGGGCTGTCCATTATCTTTCACTGCAACAATCAGGTTCTGTTTCATGCTGTCAGATTCTGAAATGTCCCGCTGTGTCCTGATTTCTCCACTGTACAGATCAATAGTGAAAAGTCCAGATCTGTGGCTTTGACTATATGATAGGACAGCCAGGCGTTCTGTCCAGAGTCTGCGTCCACTGCTATCACTTTGGACACCAGAGACCCTCCATGTGCAGCTTTAGGGACCAGCTCAGTCATGAAGGAGCTGCCCTCTGGTGCTGGATACAGTATCTGAGGAGAGTTGTCATTCACATCAGATATGAACACACTGACAGTCACGTTGCTGCAGAGAGGAGGAGAACCATTGTCTCTGGCCATCACTTGGACTTTGAAACTCCTGAACTGTTCATAGTCAAATGACCTCACTGCATGGATCACTCCTGTGTCTCCATTAACAGATAGATAGGAGGACACCGAGGCACCGTTCACCTCACCAGGTAACAGAGAATAAATCACTGTACCGTTTTGTCTCCAGTCAGGATCTCGAGCAGAAACAGTACATAAAGAGGAGCCAGGTTTGTTATTTTCACTAACATATGCGCTGTAGGACTGTTCCTCAAACACAGGAGGGTTGTCATTGATGTCAGCTACTGTTAAAATAACGGTTTTATAGGAAGACAGAGGTGGAGAACCCTCATCAGTGGCAGTGATTGTAATGTTGTAATCAGATACTAATTCACGGTCCAGTTGTCCTGTAGTCACCAGAGAATAATAGTTTTTAATAGAAGGAATCATCTTAAAAGGAACATTTTGCTCTATGGAGCAGCGAACCTGTCGGTTATTCTCAGAGTCTCTGTCCTGTACATTAATGATGCCCACCTCTGTACCAGGAGACGCATTTTCTGGTATGGGGTTGGACAAGGATTTTATATGTATTAATGGGACGTTGTCATTCACATCAGTGATGTCAATAATCACTTTAGCTTCAGAAGACAGGCCGTAACCATCTTTGGCTTCAACCATCAGTTCATACTTCGATCCCTCTTCATAATCTAATTCACCTGCAACAATTATTTCTCCGGTCTTTTCATTAAGTGAAAATAGCTTCTTTGATTTATCAGACAGTCGGCCAAACTCATACGTCACCTTGCCGTTAATACCTTCATCTGCGTCTTTTGCGCTTACTCTGATAACTGCGGTATTCAAAGGAGCATTTTCCGGAAAACTGGCCGTGTACACGGCCTCGGTAAACACAGGAGCGTTATCATTAGCGTCGAGCACAGTAACGTGTATGATTACAGTTCCTGATCTCTGCGGAGATCCACCATCTACAGCTGTCAGTAATAATTTGAATTCTTGCTGCTCTTCACGATCTAATTCTTTGTCTAAGACCAGCTCTCCATATTTACTGCCAGCACTGGTTGTTTGAATACTAAACACAAAGTGGGGGTTTTGTTCTAGGGTGTAGCTTTGAACGGCGTTCTGGCCTATATCTGCGTCGTGCGCTGCATTAATGCGATACCTGGCTCCTTTTGCTGCAGACTCGCTGATCTCCAGCTTCACTGTATCTTTTTGAAACACTGGAGAATTATCGTTTATATCCTCAACCTGAAGGGACAGCCTATGCAGTTCCAGGGGATTTTCTAAAAGCAGGTCAAATTTTAGAACACAGGTCGGTTTTTGTCCACAGTGCTCCTCTCTGTCTATTCTTCCGGCGACCAATAAGTCTCTGGTCCTCGGTCGACTCTGATATACTCCTTCTCGCTTCGTTCCATTTCTACGCGGACTTTACGAGCATCGTTTCCCCGCGATTCCAGGCCCAAATCCCTGGCAACATTTGCGATGACAGACCCGCGCTTCAGCTCCTCTCGAACGGAATAGGTCAGTTCTCCCTTTGTGCAGTGTTCAACAAAAAGGACAAAGAGGAGTCCACAGATCCCGGTGAAACGTAGTCCACACGCCATCATCAGACACTAAAATAATGCAGATACGGTTTCAGTCGTGAAGTGTTTTTGATTATGATTTCAGTATTCCTTGGATTTCGCTCCAGCTTCAGAGAAAAAAGACGAAATACCTCCCAGTCCTCATGGTGGATCGTGTGCAAAGCATATTCGGGGTTAAACGCGTTGCTGGTCTTTAGTGACACCTTGAGTATAGCTAAAAAATGACAACGCAAGAGACGTGATCATAATTGCAATCTGCATTTTGGAAAGAAAATGATGCCATTCAAATATTGAACCAGTCAAATAAATGCATACTTATTGAAGGATAATCGGACTTTTATTTTGTGTCATTACTGCAAAAGGGTCATCTAAATTCTAAAATGTTTAAAACTGCGTCATTCCCGTCGTTATAACGCAAGAAGTGTTCCCAGTTTTTCTAAATATAATCTGAAATTGCATGTGGTTTTTTTTTCGTAGTTAATAATTGTTATATCACTTTGTGAAAATATAAATGCAAACACCTTTCAAGTGAACGTGATCACACGTTTCTTTTCAGTAAAGAGACACCGAATGAGAGAAGAAAAAAATCATAAGTGGTCATTAGCAGGACGGCTCCGTATTTCAATGAATTACATCCTAATTCCGTCTCACAAATCTTTCCACGGTTATCATGAAAGACAACACACACGCTAAAAGCGCAAAATGAGGTTTCTTTGTGTGTGTGAGGAGAACGTGAAAACAACAATAACTTGATAAACGTTTTGAAGTATTAAAAAAATCCAACCATTCAACCTTATCATAATTAACTTATTTTTATTTATTTATAAATTAGAGATCGTAACATCCAATTATATAATCTAATAAGAAGGCATTGGAAAAGCTTTGATTTAAATGTCTTACGGCATGTTGAATAAGTGGGTTATTCATAGATTTAAACGACTGGTGCGGCAGTCAATTTCAGCACCCGGGACAGAGACATAGAAAAAGCTGGTGTCTCATTTGGAGAAAGCGGGGAAACATGTGAGCCAGTAAGTTCCGTTGTTGTAATACAGAGCAGTGACTTCATGTCTTGAGTTCATTTTGAGCTTTTAGCAGTAATCATGGAAAGCGAGCGTTCACGTTATGACAACAAAAACCCCGCATTTGAATGTGAAAACACAGAACACTGACAAACGAGCAAGCTGAAGATGTTTAAAATGATTCCCGAATCATCTTGCCACACGCACCAACATATGAATCGATGGTTTATAATATATGACAGGTTCATATGAAGGATGTCGAACGAATTCCCACAAACAAGCAACTGGCAATGAACAAGAAAATAAAATGCTCAAAAATACCACTACTTTTCAAATATTTTTTTAAAAAACCAATGAAAAGTTATTCTGTTTTGAAAAGTGAAAAATGAGCATACACTGGTTATAGCTTAGAAAATACAAGTTTGGTGTAAAGAAAAACAACAACAAAAAACTATAACTTATAACTTGACATAATCAACAAAAAAGAGAAAATTGAATTATACGCATAATAAAGTGGTTAAGTCAGAGAAGTGCAATGAATAAGTACTAGATGTAAGAAAAGTGTGCGGAAAAGAATTACTAAAAAGGCAGGGATTAACCAAATACGAACAAAGGGAATACAAAATGAAAAGGAAAAAAAAAGATGAGGAAGTTATATAAATTTGGGTGAAAGAATCTCTGAAAAGAAACAAAAAAAACGTTTGAGAACCCTATAAAAGAGGCAAAGAACTTGAAGTCATTACAGAGGTAAAAAAACATTTTTTACCTCCGGAAAGTCCATGTTGTCTCCGAACACATCGGCAAACTCTGTTGGACTTTTCTTCAAGGTCTGGTCAGCAGGCAGCGTGTTGTCATTGTAAGATGATACAAACTTAAAGTCACTGGTTCTAGATCCTGTTGTCAGGTAGGCATCATAATTGTAGGTGCTGCGTAAAGTTCCTGTTCCGTCAACATCTGCGTAATTAGGAGGAGATAAGCTCCTGGAATAGCTACTGCTCCATCAAACAACAGTCTGGGTTTTCTTCTACGACAAAATCTCACACCAAGGATGATGATGATGAAGGTCAGAAAGAAGGTGGACACAGAAACCAGCAATGATCAGATAAGAGGTCAGCTTGGAGTTTTTCTCCTCATAAATGTCTTTCAGTTCAGGCACTTCAGCCAAGTTATCAGAAATGAGTAAATACATTGAACAGGTGGCAGACAGAGAGGGCTGTCCATTATCTTTCACTGCAACAATCAGGTTCTGTTTCATGCTGTCAGATTCTGAAATGTCCCGCTGGTCCTGATTTCTCCACTGTGTAGATCAATACTGAAAAGTCCAGGATCTGTGGCTTTGACTATATAGGACAGCCAGGCGTTCTGTCCAGAGTCTGCGTCCACTGCTATCACTTTGGACACCAGAGACCCTCCATGTGCAGCTTTAGGGACCAGCTCAGTCATGAAGGAGCTGCCCTCTGGTGCTGGATACAGTATCTGAGGAGAGTTTGTCATTCACATCAGATATGAACACACTGACAGTCACGTTGCTGCTGAGAGAGGAGAACCATTGTCTCTGGCCATCACTTGGACTTTGAAACTCCTGAACTGTTCATAGTCAAATGACCTCACAGCGTGGATCACTCCTGTGTCTCCATTAACAGATAGATAGGAGGACACCGAGGCACCGTTCACCTCACCAGGTAACAGAGAATAAATCACTGTACCGTTTTGTCTCCAGTCAGGATCTCGAGCAGAAACAGTACATAAGGAGCCAGGTTTGTTATTTTCACTAACATATGAGCTGTAGGACTGTTCCTCAAACACAGGGGTTGTCATTGATGTCAGCTACAGACAACTGAATAGTTTTAGAGGAGGACAGAGGTGGAGAGCCCTCATCAGTGGCAGTTATTGTAATGTTGTAATCAGATACTAATTCACGGTCCAATTGTCCTGTTGTCACCAGAGAATAATAGTTTTTAATTGAGGGAACCAATTTAAAAGGGACATTTTCCTGGATTGTGCAGCGGACTTGGCGATTATGTTCAGAGTCTCTGTCCTGTACATTAAAGATGCCGACCTCTGCACCAGGTGACACGTTCTCAGGTATGGGATTGGACAAGGACTTTAAATGAATAAAGGGGGCGTTATCATTTATATCCGTAACTTCAATAATTACGGTTGCATATGAGGCCAATCCTAAACCATCTTTAGCGCTTATCTGCATTTCGTACAACGATTTCCTTTCATAATCAATAATTCCACCTACTTTTACTTCACCGGTTTGTGGATTTAATATAAAAATTTGATTTTCATCGGACACATGATCAAATCCGTAAGTGATTTCGCCATTCACTCCTTCATCTGCGTCCGTAGCGGACACTGTTAGAACAACAGAACCTATTGATTCATTTTCAGGGAGACTGGCTTTATAAACTACCTGGCTGAACACTGGGGCGTTATCATTAGCATCCAGAACAGTGACGTGTATCGCAACGGTGCCTGATTTCTGAGGAGATCCGCCGTCAAAAGCAGTCAGTAAAAACGTAATCGTGTTTTTGTCCTCCCTGTCCAGCTCTTTGTCCAAGACTAACTCGCCATATTTCCGTCCAATTCCTTTTGACTTTACATTTAACTTAAAGTAATCGTTTTCTTGTAGTGAGTAGCCCCGCACAGCATTGTCGCCAATGTCTGCGTCATGCGCTTCATCAAGGAGAAACGTCGCCCCTCTCGTCGCAGATTCTTGAATTTCTAATTTAATTGATTCCTCTTTGAACTGGGGAGAATTATCATTAATATCCTGAATGTGAATGTTAATACGGTGCAGTTCTAAAGGATTTTCAAGCACTACCTCCTGTTTTACGACGCACGATGCCCTCTTCTCACAAAGTCCTTCCCTGTCCATTCGTTCTTCGACCATTAAATTTCCTGTCTGGACATTCAAGCTGCAGTACTTCACGCCGTTATCCTCCGTCTCAATACGAGCCTTTCGAACAGACAGCGTGGGCAGATCCAGTCCTAAATCCTTAGCAATATTTCCGACCACGGATCCTCGCTTCATCTCTTCTGGAATGGAGTAGCTCACGTCTCCACAAACAAGGTGGATGAAAAGAACAATAAAAGCAAGGCCTCGGCGCACGAAATCACCAAAGATACTCATTTTTTTTGTTTCAGTTTTCTTAAGGAACGCCACTTTACAATCAAATTGTGAACGAAAAGTTCATCTCTATCTGTCCTGCATTAAAAAAGGAAAAATTCAGTTGCAAAGCATGCGTTATTTGTTGTCTGTTCTCAAAAAAGCAAATTCTGGGTATGCGCAGGCAGTTCAGGGAGGAGGAAGATTCTGACATTTCGTTTACTAGTACATACTGACACCATGAGTATTTGCTGCGGTATGACATGTCTGTATATTTCATGCAACCTGCTTTAGCAATGACACAGATTGTAAAATGAACTTAAATTAATTAAAAATGTGTGTAATTTTTAACTACCCAAAGAAACTAAAATCTCTGATATTGAGAAGATATTTTTTAAATTAAATAGTAAAAATAATAATAATAAATAAATAAATGAATAAATAATAATAATAATAATAATAATAATAATAATAATAATAATAATAATAATAATAATAGTTACTATTATTATTATTATAATAATAGTATTATTAACTATTAATAATAATAATAATAATAGTTACTATTATTATTATTATTATTATTATTATTATTATTAATTTTATTATTATTATCATTATTATCAATGTAATAAAATCAATAATATATCATATTACCCTATTTTAAAGAGCAAGCTGAAAGGACAAAAAAAGAAAACACAAATTTTGCCAAAATGGTCAAACCTTTTAAAACACCAGATTCATGCATAAAATTGCAAATTAGATGCAAAACAGGAGGCAAGAAATGTAAAATGCAATTCAAAAACAAGAACAATAAATACTCACACAAAGATAAACACAAAAAACAAAAACAAAAATCAACCAACCTCAAAGCAAATAAGGATGAGAAATTTCTTTTTTCTAAGATAGCTCGATAGAATTTAATGCTCAATGAAAATATTCATACCTCTGGTGAAGAGTCAAGCTCCCCAAAAACATCAGCAAAGTCTGTTGGACTTTTCTTCAAGGTCTGGTCAGCAGGCAGCGTGTTGTCATTGTAAGACGATACAAACTTAAAGTCACTGGTTCTGGATCCTGTTGTCAGGTAGGCATCATAATTGTAGGTGCTGCGTAAAGTTCCTGTTCCATCAACATCTGAGTAATTAGGAGGGAGATAAGCTCCTGGGATGGCTACTGCTCCATCAAACAACAGTCTGGGTTTTCTTCTACGACAAAATCTCACACCCAGGATGATGATGATGAAGGTCAGAAAGAAGGTGGACACAGAAACCAGAGCAATGATCAGATAAGAGGTCAGTTTGGAGTTTTTCTCATCATAAGAAATATCTTTCAGTTCTGGAACTTCAGCCAAGTTATCAGAAATGAGTAAATACATTGAACAGGTGGCAGACAGAGAGGGCTGTCCATTATCTTTCACTGCAACAATCAGGTTCTGTTTCATGCTGTCAGATTCTGAAATGTCCCGCTGGGTCCTGATTTCTCCACTGTGGAGATCAATACTGAAAAGTCCAGGATCTGTGGCTTTGACTATATGATAGGACAGCCAGGCGTTCTGTCCAGAGTCTGCGTCCACTGCTATCACTTTGGACACCAGAGACCCTCCATGTGCAGCTTTAGGGACCAGCTCAGTCATGAAGGAGCTGCCCTCTGGTGCTGGATACAGTATCTGAGGAGAGTTGTCATTCACATCAGATATGAACACACTGACAGTCACGTTGCTGCTGAGAGGAGGAGAACCATTGTCTCTGGCCATCACTTGGACTTTGAAACTCCTGAACTGTTCATAGTCAAATGACCTCACAGCGTGGATCACTCCTGTGTCTCCATTAACAGATAGATAGGAGGACACCGAGGCACCGTTCACCTCACCAGGTAACAGAGAATAAATCACTGTACCGTTTTGTCTCCAGTCAGGATCTCGAGCAGAAACAGTACATAAAGAGGAGCCAGGTTTGTTATTTTCACGAACATATGCGCTGTAGACTGTTCTCAAACACAGGAGGATTGTCATTGATGTCAGCTACAGACAACTGAATAGTTTTAGAGGAGGACAGAGGAGGAGAGCCCTCATCAGTGGCAATGATTGTAATGTTGTAATCAGATACTAATTCACGGTCCAGTTGCCCTGTGGTCACTAAAGAATAATAGTTTTTAATTGAGGGAACCAACTTAAAAGGGACGTTTTGCTGAATGGAACAGCGAACCTGTCCATTATTCTCAGAGTCTCTGTCCAGTACATTAATGATGCCCACCTCTGTACCGGATGACACATTCTCTGGTATGGGATTGGACAAAGATGTTATTTCTATATCTGGTCTGTTGTCATTTACATCAATAATATCAATTATAACCTTTGTCTCTGTAGAAAGACCATAACCATCTTTCGCTTCAACAAATATCTCATATTTTGTTCTCTCTTCATAATCTATATTTCCTGTAACAATCATCTCTCCTGTTTTTGAATCAAGAGAAAATAAAGACTGAGATTTTTCAGAGATTCGGCTAAATTCATATGTAACTTCACCATTGATTCCTTCATCTTTATCTGATGCACCTACTGTGATAACCGGAGTTTGTAAAGGAGAGTTTTCAGGTAACCTCGCTGTGTACACAGCCTCGGTAAATACGGGAGCATTGTCATTAGCGTCGAGAACAGTAACATGTATAACTACAGTCCCTGATCTCGGAGGAGATCCGCCATCTACCGCTGTTAATATAATTCTCAATTCTTGCTGCTCTTCTCTATCTAACTCTTTATCTAAAACCAGTTCTCCATATTTTCTTCCAGGGCTCGTTTGAACGTTAAGCACGAAATTTGGGTTTTGCTGCAGGATGTAGCTTTGTACAGTGTTCTGGCCTATGTCTGCATCATGCGCAGCGTTAATGCGATATTTAGCTCCTTTACCGGTTGACTCCCCTATTTCCAGCTTAATAATATCCTTTGGAAAGATCGGTTCATTGTCATTTATGTCTTGTACTTGCAGAGACAAACGATGTAGCTCCAGAGGATTTTCCATAAGAAGGTCGTATTTGAGAATACACGTTGGGTTTTCTCCACACTGCTCCTCTCTGTCTATTCTTCCCGTGACAAATAAATCCCCGTTTCTCAGATTAATGCCGACCATCTCCTTTTCGCTTCCTTCCACCTTAACCCGGATTTTACGAGCAGATAGTCTTCCCACGTCCAGTTTCAGATCTTGTGCGATATTTCCAATTACAGATCCGCGTTTCAGTTCCTCCTGGACCGAGTAGGTCAGATCGCAATGGGAGTATTGCACCAGAACAAAGAAAACAAGAACGCCGTGCCATTCTCGATCCCGTCGTTTGTGCATCATCTTCCAGTTGTTCTACAAAAGCTGCGTCTTCTTTTAATGAGGGTTATTGTATTTCCTAATGAGGTTCTCTACCGAGCTTGTCCACGGATTCACGTATTATAAAAGACAGGTCCAGCCCGAAAACGTGTGGTGTGCAAAAGCAGTTGGATATTTAAATCCAAAACGGGTCTATAGTGACACCGTGAGTTTAAACGACAACGTTTCACCAGAAACAGTGAATAATATTCTGAAGCGTTATCACGTATTCCAACGGAATAATTTCAAACTGAAAATTAATTGTGTTGCAAAAAAAATTACATATATATATATATGAATATGTTGAAAAAAACATTGTGTTTGCATATTGCCAAATCAATTTACAGAAAAGTCTTATTTTAATTCTCGGAAAGTAGTAGAAATGATGCATTTTTAGCCTAAAATATTTATCAGCATAATTTTATTTATTTTATTTTTATTTATTTTTTATGCTTTTTTTTGTTTTGTTTTTTGTTTGATTTTTTTTTTTTTAAATTTGCTCTTGGAAATCCGATTCTTCCCATCCAAGACATATTTTCTCATTACCCATCGTATTTCGTTTTTGATTTTATTCTCGTGAACTACAAACTAATTCTCGTTCAACGTTCTTTGAGTCCAGGAAAGTCTAATAAAATAAAACTCAAACATAATCACAATAAAAATAAATATAAAAATGGTGTAATAGCACATTTAAGTTTGTGAGTATGCGAATGGAACAAAACATGTAACTCATTTCGATATTAAAGCCAAAGAGACGCAAGATAATTTACCATAGCAATGTCTTACATTGGTAAGCAGTTTGGGAAAAGCAATCATTGCTGAATATGCAACATTATCCCCAGAACGCAAATTAATGTGAAATGCATCTACTGGAGAATCATGTTGCAAATAAAGCAACATTTAAATATCTGACAAAACAATTTAACGAGATCAATTAATCGTATCTCACAGCATTTATAAATTAAACAGTTGATGTAATTATCTTCGAAAAACATAACAGGATAAAAACAATAGTGGGAATAGATGGTTTCGAAACAGTACGTGCGAAGTTGCACATGTAAACAGCAGTGATTCTACTGCAAAAATCAAAAGCTGGCATAAATGTCCACGAGCAAAAAAGCAGCTTATAACATGTCGCTGGGTACCAAAGAGCAAAACGCTGATTTAATTAGCAACGTGAAAAGGATCTTAAAGGACTCAATATAATCAATCGTTGGTGTACTGTCACATTCAATCTCTGTATTTATGTTAAATCGTTCGACAAAAAGCCGGTATGGCTGATATATTTTCTACATATAATACAATCTATTAATAACTTTATTGTTAGACAATTTATTACATAGTAAGAAGATGCTATGTGTGATGAAATTTTGTGAAAGAACTGGATTTTTAAAAATCGATTATAGTAATGGAAATAGTTCCGCTTACGATCGAGTTAAACGAACGACAACTGAATATGCTCAGAAAAAAAAAAAAAAAAGGACTGGAAAAGTACAAGACAAGAACAAGGTTCTGACAAGAAGCTGAGTAAAGCGAAACCATATTTCAGCAACAAGTGGAAAAAGGACCCTCAGAATAAAAAAGCCAAAACCATTTTAAGGAGAAAACTGGACAAACGCAGATTGTGCAAGAGAAGAAAATACGAAACACTGATGGAAAAAATAACAAACTTAAGCATTTATTTTTTAAGTTAAAATTTAAAGAAAAATCTTGGAAGTAAAATCAAAATCGAAGCAAAAATCTACACAGTGTTTTTTTAAAAAAATCATGAGTGATACGTTTTAATATCGGATGAAACTAAGAAAGATTAATCAATGTCACGTTGATTTCAAACCAAATATATAGCGGAATGTATTCCTACCTGAAGAGAGGAATCATTATCTCCAAATACATCTGATAAGTCTATTGGACTTTTCTTCAAGGTCTGGTCAGCAGGCAGCGTGTTGTCATTGTAAGATGATACAAACTTAAAGTCACTGGTTCTGGATCCTGTTGTCAGGTAGGCATCATAATTATAGGTGCTGCGTAAAGTTCCTGTTCCGTCAACATCTGCATAAGTTGGAGGAAGATAAGCTCCAGGAATGGCTACTGCTCCATCAAACAACAGTCTGGGTTTTCTTCTGCGACAAAACCTCACACCAAGGATGATGATGATGAAGGTCAGAAAGAAGGTTGAAACAGAAACGAGAGCAATGATCAGATAAGAGGTCAGCTTGGAGTTTTTCTCATCATAAGAAATGTCCTTCAGTTCTGGAACTTCAGCCAAGTTATCAGAAATGAGTAAATACATTGAACAGGTGGCAGACAGAGAGGGCTGTCCATTATCTTTCACTGCAACAATCAGGTTCTGTTTCATGCTGTCAGATTCTGAAATGTCCCGCTGGTCCTGATTTCTCCACTGTGTAGATCAATAGTGAAAAGTCCAGGATCTGTGGCTTTGACTATATGATAGGACAGCCAGGCGTTCTGTCCAGAGTCTGCGTCCACTGCTATCACTTTGGACACCAGAGACCCTCCATGTGCAGCTTTAGGGACCAGCTCAGTCATGAAGGAGCTGCCCTCTGGTGCTGGATACAGTATCTGAGGAGAGTTGTCATTCACATCAGATATGAACACACTGACAGTCACGTTGCTGCTGAGAGGAGGAGAACCATTGTCTCTGGCCATCACTTGGACTTTGAAACTCCTGAACTGTTTCATAGTCAAATGACCTCACAGCGTGGATCACTCCTGTGTCTCCATTAACAGATAGATAGGAGGACACCGAGGCACCGTTCACCTCACCAGGTAACAGAGAATAAATCACTGTACCGTTTTGTCTCCAGTCAGGATCTCGAGCAGAAACAATACATAAAGAGGAGCCAGGTTTGTTATTTTCACTAACATATGCGCTGTAGGACTGTTCCTCAAACACAGGAGGGTTGTCATTGATGTCAGCTACAGACAACTGAATAGTTTTAGAGGAGGACAGAGGTGGAGAGCCCTCATCAGTGGCAGTTATAGTAATGTTATAATCAGATACTAATTCACGGTCCAGTTGTCCTGTGGTTACTAAAGAATAATAGTTTTTAATAGAAGGAATCAGTTTAAAAGGGACATTCTGCTCAATGGAGCAGTGAACCTGTCGTTTATTCCCAGAGTCTCTGTCCTGTACATTAATGATGCCCACCTCTGTATTAGGTGACATGTTCTCAGATATGGAGTTGGACAATGACTTCACATATATAACTGGGGCATTGTCATTTACATCAATAATGTCAATTATAATTTTAGCTTCTGAGGAGAGCCCGTAACCATCTTTTGCCTCCACAAACACCTCATATCTTGGTGTCTCTTCATAATCTATATTTCCTGTAACAATCATCTCTCCTGTTTTCGAATCAAGAGAAAATAAAGTCTGAGATTTTTCAGAGATTCGGCTAAATTCATATGTAACTTCACCATTGATTCCTTCATCTTTATCTGATGCACCTACTGTGATAACCGGAGTTTGTAAAGGAGAGTTTTCAGGTAACCTCGCTGTGTACACAGCCTCGGTAAATACGGGAGCATTGTCATTAGCGTCGAGAACAGTAACATGTATAACTACAGTTCCTGATCTCGGAGGAGATCCGCCATCTACCGCTGTTAATATAATTCTCAATTCTTGCTGCTCTTCTCTATCTAACTCTTTATCTAAAACCAGTTCTCCATATTTTCTTCCAGGGCTCGTTTGAACGTTAAGTACGAAATTGGGGTTTTGCTGCAGGATGTAGCTTTGTACAGTGTTCTGGCCTATGTCTGCATCATGCGCAGCGTTAATGCGATATTTAGCTCCTTTGTCGGTTGACTCCCCTATTTCCAGCTTAATAATATCCTTTGGAAAGATCGGTTCATTGTCATTTATGTCTTGTACTTGCAGAGACAAACGATGTAGTTCCAGAGGATCTTCCATAAGAAGCTCGTATATAAGAATACACGTTGGCTTTTCTCCACAAAGCTCCTCTCTGTCTATTCTTCCCGTGACCAATACATTTCCGTTCTTCAGGTTAATTCCGACATACTGCTTTTCGCTTCCCTCCGTTTCAACTCGAGCTTTACGTGTTGCAAGTTTCCCCACGTCCAGTCCCAGATCTTTGGCGATGTTTCCGATCACAGAGCCATGTTTGAGCTCCTCTTGGATGGAGTAGGTCAGATCTCCGCGAGCGAAATGCATCAGAAAAAAGAAAAAAATGATACCGTGTTCGCTTTGAAGGCGTCGTTTACTCATCATTTCAACGCTGCTCTCCAAAAGCCAGATCTTTTATTTGTGAAGGTTCAGAATTTAATAACGCGCTCTTGCCGCAATTCCAACAAGGTTCGGTTCTTTTCTAAAGAACAGAGGAACAAACCCAGTTGCGGGTGGTGTGCAGAGCAGTGGAGCAACAATTAAATCCAAAGAAAGTCTATAGTGACACCGTGAGTTTGAATGATATTACAACACGTCAGAGATTTATTTATATATTTATATATGTATATATATAACTGACCCTATTTTGGTATGAAATCTTCTTGGAATAAAATATTTTCCATACATGATGTTTAAATGATTCATTTTGATATTACAAGAAAGAACATAAAATATCAGCCTTGATTTAAGTTACATGGCAAATAAGTTTCCAGATTAAATAACTGTCAAACGTTGCTACCGCAATCACTTATTACACATCTGACACACTTATAGCCACTAAATAAATACTAAAAATATTTATTTTTCCTAGAAAATACATTTCCGTGGATACATTTTCACACACCACCCACCAATTGACACTCCAAGATTTTTTTTTTAAATCTAATTGAAAATATGAAATACTTCCGTAGACAGCAAAATGGTGTCGCAAAGAAAATTTGTATTTTTATTTCTTACGGAATCTTAAAATACGTAGGCTACGTCGTGTATTTCTGACAGATACGTAGATGAAATGCATCATTTATATTAGAAGTACTAATTAATTTTGTATTTCTTTTTGTAAAATCCCACAAATTTGACCTGGACAATATAGCAAATATGATTCAAATGCTTAATTTATTCAGATTGAACAGGTAAAGGTGGAAA